CAGAGTGCGACGCGGAGGTTCAGCCCCAAGGGGCCGCCCAGCCCAGGGAGCACCCCGAGGACCCCCGCAAGCGAGAGGCGCCCGAGGCCCCCGCGGAGCTTCCGAGCGCCGGAGGAGCTGAGCAGCAGGCGGAAGAAGAGGAAGAAGTGGGAGAAGGCAGCAGCACCGAGAGCAGCCGCGACGCGGGGAGGGACCCGGAGGGCGGGAACCACGGGGGAACCCGGAGCGGTTACAGAGACATCGAGAGCCAGGTGCGGAGAGACCAGGTAGACAGAGACCCAGAGACAGGGAGACTGGGAGACAAAGACCTAGAAGAGCCAGAGACCTAGAGAGATGGGGCTGGAGACACAGCCATAAATCCCCAAACGGTGCAGAGATGCTCAGAGAAACCGAAATAGAGACAGAAACCTTGAGAGAGGGAGATATTCCGAGGGGGAAAGAGCAATTCAGAGACAAGACAGATACTGCGTGGAAGAGACGAAGCCCAGAGAAACGGGGAAAGACCCAAGAGACCTGGGGAGAGGGAGCGATCCAGAGCCTACGAGGACGTGACGCTCAGAGAGTGGGACCTGGTTAGAAAAAGAAACGCCTTCTCTGAGCTAGTTCAGGACCCTCTCCCGGGACGACGAGCCCCTCCTCCTCCAGGGGCCGGGTGGTCACCGGACTGACACCCCCCCCAAACTTGAATAACAGAGCCTGTTGTTAGAGTTAGGCCACTCCCTGCACTCGAATGAAAGCGTGGTGGTTGAGTTAGGCGGACGCAGATCCCCCTCGGGGGTTTCGGGTGGGGAATATCTATTTAGCGACTGCAGGGAGGCGAGGCCGCTCCACTTGACCACGCCCCCTCCAATCTCAGGGGGAGGCCCCGCCTCCCGTACAGGTCCCGGCCACGACCCCCACGCTTACCGCGTCCAGGGAGGGCGTGAGAGGGGCGGCGCAGCGGCTTCGAGGGCAGCAGCTGGAGGCCCTGACACGAGTGGCCCTCATGGAGCAGCGAGTGAAGGAGCTGCAGCGCCAGAGGAAGGAGCTGAGGATCGAGGTGAGGCTGCAGACCTGTTGGGAAGTCTAAACCCGACTTACGGGGAACCCGCAAGGCCAGGCTCCCAGTCCTTTCCTCCTTCTGGCTCCAACTCTAGGCCTCCAGCTCCGTCCTCCCTCGAATTCTGGAGTTCAGGATCCCAGGTCCCACCCTCAGACCCGCGGTCCGAGCCCCCAATCCCCTCCTTCCCCAGATCCAGACCTCTGGGCCCCAGCCCTTGCATTCTCTCCGCAGATGGAGGTGGAGGTGGCCCTGCTGCGGGGTGAGCTGGCTGGGGAGCGAGTGGCCGCTCGGCGGGAGGAGGAGCAGCTTAGGGAGCTGCTGGAGCAGCGGGTGGACACGGAGCAGGCCGGCCGGGAGCAGCGGGAGCAGGTTTGTCTGTCCTGCTGGGTCTTCATCACCGGCTTCCTTCCTTCTCGGAGAGAGATTTCAGGTGGGGCCCCTGGAACCAGGGCCCCGGGGTTGTCCTTGTTCCCCAAATGGGGTTACCTAAGTCGGGATGGGGGACGGTGATGGGCAGATTTTCCTCCTCCCTCCCTGTCTGTAGTTTTGGGGCCTGACTCACTAGAGCCTCTTCCTTTGCCCCTCTCTCTGCTCTTTTAATGTCATACTGTGAAAAACGTCAACAAAAATAGAAGAGTTGGTCAGCTGCCAATTCCTAGTCTCCGTAGTGATTAATCTTTGATTTCTGTTTCATATCCCCAATTCGATTCCCTGTCCTAGTTTTAAAAACCCATCCCGGACATCATATTGTTTTTAAAACACTTAAGTTCTTATCTTATAGATAGTAATTCCTCTTTAAAAATATGATCACCATTTCATTTTCACACCTTAAGAATTAATAAGTTCTTAATATCGTCTTATTTCCAGTTTTCATGTTTCCCAGATTGTCTCAAAAACACCAGTTAACAGTTGGCCATTTGAATCAGGTCCCCAAAAGGCCAGTAGATTGTAATTGGTGGAAATGCCTTGTGCACGTTGTTTAACCTCTAATAGTCCCCGCCCGCTGTTTTCCCATAGTATTTATTGGACAAAACAAGTCTTCTGTCCCGTGGTCTGGTGGCTCGTGTCCTTTGACTTGTTCCTCTTCCTGCAAGCAGGTGGTGGGTTAGATGTGCAGGCTGGATCAGATTCAGATGTGCCCCGTGCTTCCCGTGTGCCATGTCAGGGGTTGTCATGTCTGGTTGTCCAGACCTCAGTGAGGTCGCTCTGATCCCTCCGTAATAATTGTTCACCTACAGGATTTAACATCCATTGGTGATTACTGCTTGGATCAGTTAACATTATAGGTTAGAAAACGGTACCTTTGTCATTCTATTAATTTTTCTCTTCGCCCTTATCTTGTGTGTTGGTTTTGCCTTGGGCCGGGTCCTGGGTCCTCGGTCCTCATTTACCCTCAAAGAGTCTATATTTCTCCCAGCCATGATTTTTCTCCTGTAATCTAGACCTCTCTGTCTTGTTTCTTAGGATACTGGCTCCTCCCCCAGGATTTAGGAATCTGGGCCCCAGCCCCTCCCCCCTGCAGACCCAGGAATCCAGGCCCCCGGCCCCCTCCTTCCCCAGACCCAGGAATCCAGGCTTTTCTCATGTACCGTAACCAAAGCTGACCTCAGCAACTCCTTTTTCTACATTGTCCCTATCTCTCCCTCCCTTTTGTCACCAGGCCAGAGTCCTGGACCTTGCTCTGTACACCTCCCAAGCTCACACCCAAGCCTGTCAGTCAACATGTCCTGTTCTTTCTGCTCCCTGATCCTTTCTCTCTGGTCTATTCTCTGTGCATCGCCACTGCCCAGGCCTCATTTAGGTCTCGTCCTTACTGTTCGGAGGACTCATGTAGGAGCTGGTCTCCTGTAACCCCTCTGCCAGAGGGATGATTCCACACCCAGCTCCTACTCCATCTTTTCAGTCCTTCTGTGGCTCCCTCTTGCCCCAGGGTGAGGGGTCCTCAGCCTGCTCACCACACCCAACACGGGCTGTGCCCACCTTTCCACTGTCATCTCCCGCGTGCCCCCCATCTCTTTCCTCCGTCACATCTTCCTCCTCGACAAGAGTTTGCCCCCTAGACTTCCCGTACTTTTTAACTTCATGCTGTTCCCTCTGCCCAAAATGCCCTTCCAGGCCCTTCTAGCTTCCTAGGTCTAAATACTCACTTCAAAATCCTAACATCCAGGAAACCTCGAATTGCTCCAGTAGAAATTGCTCCCCACTCTGGGTTCCTGTAATTTCTGTGTTTTGCTGCCTCGATTGTCCCCAGGCTGTAGCTGACTATGTTCCCACCTGGAACCCAGGACCCAGGTGTGACCACCCCCCCATCTGGATCCCCAATACCAATCACCCAGCATGGATATGTTTTGCATTCATTCATTTCTTGGACTGTTTACCTGCCACCTACTCTGAGCAGGCCAGGACAAGAGTGAGCCAGACACCCAGGGTCCCTGCCCTCATGCAGCCCATACCCCAGGCAGGGAGGGGTTTGAGGTCTGGCTGGCCTGGCCCTTGCTGGCCTCTGTTTCTGTCCCTGTGCTCAGGTAGATGCTAAGAGCCTGGCTGTTCTTTCAGGAGCAGAGGCGGCTGAGCCAGGAGCGGGATCGTGTGGAGCGTCTCCGCCGGAGGCTCCGCGAGGCCCAGGGGCAGCTCAGCTCACAGCCAGAGGACCAGCACGAGCAGCTTCTACAGGGGGTGCAGGAGGTGAGGATGCAGCTCAGGACCCAGAAGTCCAGGCCTTCAGTCCCCTAACCCCTAGGACTCCAGTGCAGGTCCTTGGCGCCTCCTCCTCCGTTGACGGGGAGGAGTCCTGGCCCCCAGCCCCTGACCCCTCTGAGCCCTAGGGGTTCAGGCCTCCAGCCCTTTTGCACGTCTGCCCACAGGTGAAGGAACAGCTGGATGTGGCCCAGCGTGCCTACGAGGACCTGGAGTTCCAGCAGCTGGAGCGGGAGAGCCGGCGGGAGGAGGAGGACCGGGACAGCCCTGGGGCTCGGGTCCCGGACCCCAAGGTCCAGGAACTGCAGGCGAGCATGGCGCAGCACAAGGTGAGCCTGGCTGGGCTCGCCCGCCTCCCTCATGTCGCCCACTGTCTTTTCCACTCCACGTCCGGCCCTTTCTCTGTCCTTATTTCCTACCTGCATCGTGTTCCTCGGAGTCATAGCTGACGTTTATCGAGCGGTCACTATGTGCCAGGCGCAGCCTTAAACGTTTCATGGGCGTTTACTCATTGAATCCTGACAGCCGTCCCAGGAGACACGTCTTAGTTTTTTTCCCGTTTTGTAAATGAAGAAACTGAAATGCAAGGTACTCGCATAATCTTTTCCAAGGCCACTTAGTTTTTAACGGATAGAGCTGGGATTGGAACCGACTCGGTCTTCACCATGACACTGTATGCCTCTCAAACCCTAGTCCAAAAAGGTGCTCCCACAAACCCTTTGTGGGAGCTTCATATTGAAGGTCTTTCAAAGCCTGCTGGAAAAAGTGACAGGTTTTCGCTATATTTAACACGAAGCTTCCCACACTTGTAGATTAGGAAGCGCTGAGGTGGGTCTCCTTTCTCTATCTCTATTTCTGGCGCTTTTTCCCATCGCTCTGTCTTTTCCTTTCCTCTGTCTCACAGTTTCTGTCTGTCTGTCTGTTTCTGTGTTGTTTGCTGTCTATCGAGATCTGCCTAGGTCTTTCTTTTCTGTATCTGTTCTGGTTTGACTGTCTGTCCCTTTCTCTCTCTCTGTTCTCGGCGACTCTCTCTGGGTCTGTGTCCCTGGGTCTCTGTGTATTGAATCCTCCATCCCCTACAACCCACCCCAGGCTTCTCCTGGACCGCCAAAAGGGAGCTTAACTCTGGGTCCCCCAGCCCCTCCCAGGCACCCAGGTCTTGGGGTCTCTGTTGTGGGACGGAGCACACCCCCAGCTGGTTCTGTGGGAGCCAGTTGGGGACCCTGGGGCAGTTGAGTAACCAGGGCTCTGGGGGTGCCCTGTAGCGCCGGATCCAGGTCTTGGAAGAACAGCTCAAGTCCCTGGGGGAACAGATGGCAGCTGAGAGCCGGGGCCTGAGCCGGAAGAAGGAGGAGGCCTTTCAGGCCCTGACGCAGGTAAATTCTCCTCTGTCCCAAAGTCTTCCTCCCCCCGGGGCGTGCCATCGCCCGCCCTGCTGCCCAGACACCTCCTGGAATCGGGGAAGCGGCCGGATGGCCTCTGTGATGCCTTGCCTTCCCCTAGGAACGGAGCCGGCTGCTGCAGCTTAACCGCCTTCAGGGAAGCGCTGATGGAGAGTTCTCGGATCCCACCCAGACCCTCACTAAAGTATGGGCTTTCGTGCACCTGTCGGCCCCTCCTCCCTCAGGCTCGGGCGTCCAAGCCCTTAGACACCTTCTCCCTTGGGATCCAGGATCCTCAGCCTCTAATCCCTTTAATCCTCGGGACCCAGGAGTTTAGGCCCCCAGCTCTTCCTTAGGGAACCAGCCGTCTCTGCCTACAGTCCTCACTTGTGCTGGGTGACTGGACACTAAGACCACATTCCAGCTCTCTCGTGACCTTGAGCCTTTGTTTTCCCATCTGAGAAATGGGCTGGCACCGGAGCCAAGGGCCAGAGCATCTGGGAACTAGTGGGTTCTCTGCGATCCTTCCCGCTCCCGTTAACCTTCACCCGTCTCCCGCAGCTCCTGTTCACCCAGAAGACAGACCGCCAGTTGCTGGTGCTGCAGGACCCTGCTGCCCACACGGCCGCCTCCACCTCCTCCTGCCTCTTCTCTGTGCACAGCTCCCTCCAGGTGCCTCCCCCACTGTCTTACTGTCACCCCGTCTCCAGAGCTCCCATCGTGGCTCTCTGTGCTGTGGGGAGCATGGGGCTGAGGGAAGGTTGATCCAGGGGTATTTTTATTTTTATCTTAAAGCTCCAGCTTTATTATTATTATTTTTTCTTTCATCTGCTTCACCCCTCGACCCTCCCCTGAAGAAATGGGAGCATGTTCCCCTAGGAATAAGTCTCAGAAGCCACCAAACAGGGATAATTGATAAGAAGGCCTCCCCCGCAGCCACGGCCCCCACCCCGCCCATGGCCCCCTCCCTAGAAGCAGGACAACTTGATTACTGAGTACCCTTTCCAGATCTTCTGAAAACTAAGGGTCCCAGCTTACTAATGAGTTAAAAGCTTTCATTGAATGGGTCGTTACTAATGTTTTTTTTTTAATGAGATAGGGTAGACAATGGCAGAGTGCTGTGCATGAGGTAGGGGTCCATGTTAGATGAAAAAGTTTTGTTTTGTGTGGATGGGGAGAAGCGCTCAGAAATTGGTAGCTCTTGTTAGATCGTGGAACTGTTTTTGCAAAAATGGGTATATTAGCTACGAATTGGCTTTTATTTTCTAACTTGTCACTCTGTCGTGGAGATTGTTTTCCATTGATACATTCAGAGCTGCCTCATAATTTTGAATGACTCTATAGTAATAATATACACAATAACAGTAATACTGATGACAAATAATATTTATTGAGTCTTTGTAGTGTGCCAGGCACTGTTTTAAATGCTTCACACGGTTCATTCATTCAGTCTTCGCAACAACTCTATGTGCTAGATTCTTACCTCTATTTCGTAGGCGAAGAAACTGAGGCAGAGAGGTGAAGTTGCTTAACTGGCTTGTATGTGGCAGAGCTGGGATTTGAACCCAGGCAGTCTGTTTTCAAAGCCTGTGCTCCCAACCGCTCTGGGCTTCTGTGTGGACACCATGCTACACAGGGCCGTTGAGCCGGACCTCCCTCTGTGGATGGCCATTTGAGTTTTTTGCGGTTTAAGCAATGCAGTTATGAAGATGCACATCTGTCTTTGTACACACAGTAATAACATAACTTAATATTATTATTATATTGTCCAACACATATATCACATATAACATGTAATATAATATGCAATGTATTATATTCTCTTATTAATTGATACTATAATCATTTTTGAGAGCTTAATGCAGGCCAGGGTCTGTTCAAACTCTTTTTATCACTTAGAACCGAATGGGATTGCTATTATTTAGAGGTGAGAAACAGTCAAATATTGGCAACCTGACATGGGTCAGCCTAATATATATATTATGCATATAATATCTATATGCATGAAATTACATGTATTCAAGTATACATTGTATAATTTATGAATATATAATTAGTGAATATGTATGCTATATTTGTGAAATTATATAATGAAAATATGTCATTTCATTTTTTGCTCAGAAGAACCCACAAAAATAGTTCCTATTATTATCTGGGTAAAGGGTGAGCAGATCTTCTGTCTGGGAAATTAACTTTCTAGCTGGTTCCCTGGAAGCCTGTAAAAGGTAGAGTGGCAGCTGGGTTGCCAGGCAACCCTACTTACAGTAATTATAACCCTTGTAAGGAAGTCGCTTATCTTTAAATACTCGGTAGGATGGCTTGTCCATTCCTATGGAGCTGTTACCTGAGTTAGTGGCTCCTGTGGACACGGGGCTTCTAAGGCCAGGTGGACCCTGTCCCCACCGATGTGGATCTCATACCCACCTTGCACCTGGGTGTCACCTGGCAGGCTGGACCAGGCCTTTGCACAAGGTCACTCATTTAATCCTTGCATCATGCACGGCAGGGTGGCGGGCCGTCACCCACTTTACAGACGGGGAGTCTAGTCGAGAAGAGAAATGACCTGCCAAAGTCACACACCCAGTACGTGGCAGCGCTAGGTCTAAACCAAGTCTGCCTGCGCCTTTCAGGAGACAAGGTCTTCTTGGAGTCCTTGAGAGTCCAAGCGGGCAGCATGGTCAGCGCTGCTTCAGAGGGAGCATCGGGCCCCCGCAGGAGAGTGTAGGGAGTATCGATTGACTCAGCCAGATAAACATAAACAAGTGGCCGAATGAGTGCGTAAATCGACAACTTGTTCCTCCTTGTCCCTTCTCTCTCTCTCCAAGTCCTACTGAATCTTCAGCTTCTCGTCGTCTTTTCCAGGATCACGTGTTCAGTCACCTACCTGTCCTGCCACTTCCCAGCTGGCGGAACTTTGACACCTCACTGTTCCTCAGTCTCCTTACTTGCAAAATGGGAACAATAACAGCACTCACTGGTTAATGGTTAAAGTGCTTAGTGGGGTGCCTGGCACATAGTAGGTGCTCAGTGAGTGCGGGCTGCTGGTACTCTGATGGTAATTACAATGATTAGTCCTGTCATAATTAATATTCTTTTTCCATCTACTCTCACCCGCATCTCTGTTTTTTGTGACCATATACCAGCTTCCTCACTGATGTCTCCATCTTATTTTTTGGCTCCCAACGATCTGTTCCCCACACAACAGCCAGAGTGATCTTGATCCCTCCCACTTCAGTCCTCTCTACCAGAAGCCTTCAGTGGCCCCAGGTCTCCTCACCGTGGCCCACCTGCCCGGCGTGATCCGGCCCCTGGCCACCTCTCGCCACTCACCCACACACTCTCGCTGCTCAGCTGCAGGAGCACTGTCCTGCCAACAAGCCACGTTCGTTCCTGCCTCAGGGCCTTTGCACTTGCCGACCCTTCTACCTGGTACCTCGTTCCCCGCAGTCCTCCCTGGCCAGCTCTTACCCTTGGGCTTTAGGGTCAGTGTCCACAGGCTGTCCCTGGTCTTCCCGTTGGAGGTTCATCCTCTTCGATAACATCCTATTCTCTTTGCTCCCAACAATTTTTAATGATACCTTTATTTGTACGATGGCTTATGCAGTTCCTACAGCATAAGCGCCGTGCAGACCAGGCGTGGGTCCATCTTGCGCACTCGTTTCCTCGGTGCCAAGGTCTCAGGTCTCTCTCAGGAGGTGCTGGGAATATCGGTTGATTGACAGAAAGAACAGGAATCGGGGCTTGGTCTCCTCCCTGTGAAGGGGAGCAGACCTTTCCCAATTCTCAGGGTGTTCAGGAGCTTAACTGGGTCTGCAGAGGGCCAGGTGCACTGCGAGGTGCTTAAGGACCACTTGGTGAATATTGGTTCTTATTTCTTAAAACTTATATTATTAAAAATGACACGAGTATAGGAAATGACATCAAACACACGCACAGCTTAATTATTTACGTGGGAACACTCCAGTAACTGCCACCTGTGTTAAGAGATAGACTTGGGAGCCACCGATAGAAGCTCACCCCAACCCCCCTCAATGACCACCCGACGTGCCCCCTGAGAATAACCACTAGCCTGTCGGTTAAGTACCTATCCACATGCACTGCAGTTTAGTTGTGCGTGTGTGGCTATACGCTTTAAGTCTCCTTTAGTCTAAAGACTTCCCCTCCATTTCTTTTTTTTGTCCCCGTTGCAATTTATCTGGTGAAGAAACTAGATGGTTGTCTGTAGAGTTTCCCAGGCTGGGTTTGCTGATTACATCTGTGGGGGGTCATCGTCACCTCCTTGGCCTCTTTATTTCCTGTAAAGTTGGATGTCCGGGTCTGAGCACATGCAGCTTCAGCATTTTGCAAGTCTTTCTGGGGCGGTGTCTGTTTCTTTCTTAGTGGCATCGGCATCTAGATCCACTGATGCTTTTAGGGGTCGCAGGTCGTAGAATTCCAGGCTGTCATCCTTTCTCCATTTACTGATTGAGATATTGCTATTAAGAGGACTTGCTTTTGTTTACTATTTGGGTATGATTTCTGTAGGAAATACAGTGAAAATGCTTGTTGGTTTTATTTTATTCACCTGCCTTCAAAATCGAATTGGTTCTCTTGCATCCTCCCGAGGTAACCAAGTCGATTTTTCCTTTACTCTTATTATTAACTCATGAATTAAATATATTTGATGAGCTATAATCTACATCAGTGAGTAACCTTAGCGATGCTCGAATTATGCAACTTTTTAAAAATTATTTTTTATTATCCATGCAGAGCTATTGCTGTTTTTCTTTTAAAAATGATTTCAGTTTTATTTCTCTATTACTCTCAGATAAGCTTATTTTTATTTTTTGGTAACTTTGTTTTGAAATAATTCAAGACGTATAGAAAATTGGCAAAAATGGTAGAAAGAATTCTTGTATAGCTGTCATTCGGGTTCTGTAATTAACATTTTACACATTTGACTATATTATTCTTTCTCTGTCTCTATGTCTGTACACACACACACACACACACACACACACACACGCTTAATTATTCTTTTCCGATGCGTGATTCCCTTTTACCCCTAATTACTTCTACATTTATTAGCTAAGGTCAAGAGTATTCTCTTACACAATGCAGTGATCAAATTCAGGAAACTGACATTGAGATAATACTATTAAAACCCACAGATCTTATTCATATTTTGTCAGTTTTCCCACTGATGTTTTCTAGCAAAAAATATATTTTTTTTCTGGTCCAGGTTGCATTTAGTTGTTACGTTTATTTTTTAAAATGCTAACATTTTCCTCATTCAAAGTTTAAATGGTCTGGAAGGATATTCAGAGGAAAGACTCCTCCACCATTATTTCTGTCCATTTGCTTTGTCTGCTGGGGGTGGCCAGGGTGACCAATTTCTTGTGTCTTCCCAGAGATAGTCTGTGCTTATACAGTCTGTCATGTGTATACTCTGCCCCTCTTTTTATGCAGAGGTAGTATATTCTTCACACTTGCTTTATTATTCTGTACTTCCTTTTGTCTTGGAGATTATTTTCCTCTTGGATAGAAAGAACATCCTCCTCCTTTTACTGTATATGCTGCAGAATTTCCCATGGTGTGGATGATCCCTGGTTTATTTACTCTCCTCCCTTCCGATGGGCACTTAGGTGATCTCCAGGCTTCTGTGAGGAATAACCTTGAACTCAGGTACTTTTGCACAGGTATGAGTGTATCTATAAGATACCACCCTACAGGTGGAATTGGGGCTCAAAAGTTTTTGCATTTGTCATTAAAAAAAAAAAAGCAAAATTGGCCTCTCTAAAGTTTGTTCCAATAGAACCCCCCACACCCTGGCTTTGTGGGAGAGTGTCTGAATTTCCCACATCTCCACCACAAATAAAGAGGGCTTTATTTAAAAATCAGTTTATAATTCACATACCATCCAATTCACCGTGTAAAGTGTACAGTTCATTGTCTTTAGTATATTCACAGAGTTGTGTAACTATCACCACAGGTTTAGAGCATGTTCATTACCCCCCCAACACCCTGTTTCCTTTAGCCATCACCCCTCAGTTCCCCCTCTTCCCCCAGCCCCTGGCAACCACCAGTCTACTTCCTGTCTCTCGATTTGCCCGTTCTGGACGTTTCACCGTGTGCTCCTCTGTGACTGGCTGCTTTCGCTCGGCATCATGTTTATAGGAGCTTTTAGATCTGTGCCAATTAGATAGTGGTTTTACTTGGCAGTTCTCTGACTTCCAGTTGAGATTGAACTTCTTGTGTGTTTTCAGGGCTCCATCGGCCTCCAGAGGACTGGAAGCCTGTCCAGGAAGAGGGGAGAGAGACTGAGCCAGAGGGGATCCCCCCGACCTCTGTCCCTCCATTGTACTGGTGAGGACCCTCCAATACCCCCCCCCCACCCTCTTCCCCCATGACCACCCTTCCTGCATCACAGGATGGGGGGACCTGGCATGGATGCCTGTTAGGGAGAAGTGGAGGGGCTGGGGCAAAGGAGAATCCCACCCCTAGCCCTACTGCTTCTCACCCAGGACCCCTGGAGGCCTCGGCCCTCCCACCAGCAGCAGGAGACTCTGAGAGACACCCCCTCTATCAGCTGCTGAACTGTGGCTCCGGAAATAGGTGAGACATCAGGGAGAAGGTGGGAAGATGCGGGGAGGAGGCTGGGCCACTGAAAACCTGCCCTAATCGCTGTTCCCTCCTCCCAGCTGTGGGGCCGTCCACCCAGACATCGCCCGCATGGAGCGGCTCCTGCAGCAGGCTGTGGCTGAGCGGGAGCGGCTGCTCAAGGCCAGGGTGAGACCCCAGGTCTTCTTCCCTCAGAGCAGGAGTCCAGGCCCCCAGCCCCCTCCTCCCTCAGGCCCAGGAGTCCGAGTCCCCAGCCCTCTCCTCCCTCAGGCCCAGGGGTCCCGGCCCCTGTCCCTCATTTCCCAGCCCCTCCTTCCCCAGACCCAGAAGTCCGGGTCCCCAGACCCTCCTCCCTCAGACCTGGGAGTCCAGACCTCCAGCCCCGTCCTCGCTCAGGCCCAGGGGTCCTGCCCTGCGCCCCTCACTTCCCAGCCCCTCCTCCCCCAGACCCAGGAGTCCAGTCCTCCAGCTCCCTCTTCCCTCAGGCCCCCGCCCCTCCTTCCTCAGGCCAGGAGGCCAGTACATTTTCCCCACATCTCACTGGTTAACATCATCCTCATGATTCCGTCCTGAATCCACAGGAAGGGACAAGAAGGAGCACAGAAGGTTCCTCAGGCCCCGCCGTTCCTGCCATCATGGTCAGTCCTGCCCCTGCCCTCAACCCCCTCGCCCTGCTCTGTTTCACCCCTGGCCTCTGCCCTTTCTCATCTCACCCTTTCCTCTCCTCCAGTGGCACAGAAAAGTGTGCCGGGCTCGCCAAGGGAAGGTAAACAAAAAACCTGGTGTTCGTTCTTATTGTGGTCTTCGGTGACATGCTCCACTTCTCTGCGCCTCAGTTTCCTCTTCTGCGAGTGGGAGACAATGTCAGCAGTTACTGAAAAGTGAGGGCAGCTACATCCTGTGGCTTTTAAAAAATCACTGAAAATTTTGTTTTATTTATCTATTTTTGTTTCTCTTAAAAAAACTTTTTATTATAGAGCTATTTGAGCATATGCCGTGGTAGAAGGAATAGATTAATAATCCCCAATGTGCCCGCCACGCAGCCTCAGCGTTTATCAGTCTCGAATCTCGTTTTAGTCGCCAGTTTTGTCTTACTGACCCCAGACCCACTTCCTACTCTGCTGTGGAATGTTTTAAACCAATTACAGCTATCGTATCATTTCATCCATACCTCACTATGTATCTCCAGTAGTTAAGTACTTTTTAACATAAAAATCCTGCTGTCATACCGTATCAGACTATTAATAATTCTATAACATCATACCACGTGGTCCACAGTCACATTCCCCTAACTGTCTCCAAAATGTCTCTTTATGATTGGTCATTTGACTGTGGCTTTGTGGCCAAAGTGCACACAATGCATTTGGTTAAAATATCTCTGAAATCTCTGACATTGCGTGCTCCCTCTTTTCCATTTTTTTTTTTTTAAATGCTATTTTTTTTCATGGAAAAAAATCGAGTCGATTTATCCCGTAGAGTTTCTCACATTCTGGATTTAGCCAACAGCTCCATATTAAACTCATTTTTACCTCCGCTAATAGCACGCCTGCATTTTCATTGTAAAGACCACGACAGTGACAGTATGGGCAAAGCGAAGGTCACCTTGAGCCCTCCCCATTGCACCTGTGGAGGCGCAGCTGTTTTCTGTTGTTAAGGACCCTTCGGATCTTTTTATGCTTTTCCGGGTGCACTGATCTAATCATACTTTGTGAATTTATCTTTTCCTGGAAACAAGCACATGGTTCCCAACCTGCTTTTTGTTTTCCCAACCATCTGTCCTCTTCGTACTCATCCTATATTTATGGGGTGCCTACTGTGTGGTGGCTCCTGGTTACTGCAGTGAGCAAAATGACAATCCCCACCCTCCCAGCCCTCCGGGAAGCTGGCGTTTAGTGGGGGAGAGGGACAAAAGGGAGCATCAATAAGTGAGAAAAGGTGCGGGTCAGGTACTGCTAAGAGCCAGGGACTTGAGTAAGGCAGGGAGGGTGCTGGAGCCTCTGAGTTGTCAAGCCTGAGTTCTGGCTCATTAAAAATGAAGGCGTCCTGCTTGCTAGGCTCATCATTTATTAAACAGTCCCTGGTGTGTGCAGTGCTACACCCCAGTCTGCCTTCTCGTGCTCATGAGCAAGTGTGGCTCTGGGATTCGCACCTGGAAGTGGATGCTAGGCTGGAGAGCTTGACGACAGTGAACTTGTCCTTGAAGCAGCCCCGCGAGGAGGGTGCCGTGATAACCCCCAGGTTCAGTGCAGGGAAACAGGCTCTGGCGAGAGGCAGGGGTTCCGTGGGGGTGACATGGGTGGGCAGGGGTGGGGCTGAGAGTCCCGAGCCCAATCTTGCTCTCTCTGATCGGCCCAGCTCCGTCATGTCCTACCTGGGTGACCTTGGTGAGTCACTTCCTCTCTAGGAGCTTTCAGTGTCCTCATCTGTCAAATGGGGACAACAGTGGTGGTTTGGGAGAGGAAATGAGATCGCTGTGATCGCTGGGCATGGTGCCAGGCACACTGAGGGACCTTCCATACACGCTGGTGATCAGTAGTATTACTATGGATTTGGCAAGATGACTCATGATTCCAGGCCCCAGTGGGTGTCCTCTTACCTGTCCCTGCCCCTCTCGTGCATTCCCCCTGCTCCACCTCATCCACCCCGACCCTTTGCCTCCTCCCCACTGTCCCCTGCCTCCATCCAGTGAGTCTGTTCCTCATTCCTTCTTGCTCTGGCCTCGCTTCAGTCTTCTCAGCCCTCAGTATTCAAAGTGAGGTCCATAGACCGACAGCATCGGTGTCCCCAGGAGCCCGATGGACGTGTGGAACCTTGCCCCCGCCCCAGGCCCCCCCCGGAGTGACTGAGGCGTGCTGCTCCGACATGCTCCACTTCTCTTCCTGAATGATCCCTGCAAAGAATGGCGGGTCGTGCGCCATTCTTTGCAGGGATCATTCAGGAAGAGTAGACACAATCAGGCCGAGCCTGGTAGCAGTACACACTTCCATGCTTTTAACTCTTCTCCCCTTAGGCCACCTGAGATGGCTCTTCTGCCTGGTGAGTCCTGGCTCAGTCGGCTCTGGCTGTGTGACTTGGGCCTAGGGACTTAGCTTCTCTGAGTCTTGGTTTCCACACCTGTAAAATGGGGGTAGTGATGTACTTATTTTAATCCCCAAGAGAGTTTGAAGGAGCAGACGGATTATACCTGTACAGGGCTTAACACAGGTGATAGTTCCTACTTTCATTACAAGAATAATATCAACAGTAATAATAATAGAAATGGTGCTCTCATCTATAGATCGCTTACTACTTGGTCCCTGTTTTACAGAGGCAGTATATGAGGGTCCCACTTTGGAGTCCCTCACCTCTCTGACATGCCTCTGCTGTTCCAGGGTGAGCTCTGGGGGCAGGAAGCCCTGAGTTCGAGGCTCAGCTCTGCCACCTAGAAGCTCTGGGTGACCTCGGGTAGATCACTTCATCTCTCTGTACCTCACTTTGCTCACCTGTAAAATGAGGCGCATAGTAGCCCTCAGTGTCCCAGGGCTGGCGGCGGGGAATCGAGGAGTCAATGCTGGTAAAACCTGCCCAGTTCTACAGTCAATAAATGTAGCTGTCAGGTTCATTTTCATGGTCATCATTGTTAATATTACTCTTTAAAGGCTGGGGCAGGCCTTCCGTGTGAGCTGCCGTGACCGTCTCCCCTGGGGGCCCCAGGCTGCAGGACCCCTTCCTGACCCGATGTAGTCAGCTCCCCGCTCTCTTCCCCCCAGGCCCCGCCCACACCCATGCCCCCACACTGCTGTCCTGGCCCCCGGGTCCTGGATCTCCGGCAGCACCTGGAACGCTGGGGCCACAACCCCGAAAGCTGCCCGCACGTCCATGTGTCCGGGGGCTTCTGCCGCGGGCCCCTGGTGAAGATGGGTGGTCGCATCAAGACCTGGAGGAAGCGGTGGTTCTGCTTTGACCGCCAGGCCCGCCGCCTGGCCTACTACGCGGGTAAGCCGGGCCTGCACGCTGTGGCCCCCAGGACCCCGGAGGCGTCTGCTCGGGAGGCCTTCCCCAGTCACCGAGGTCCCGGCCCCTCCCTCCTCTCTCGGGCCCCCACTCCCCCCTTGCCCCAGGGCCCAGGAGTTTGGTCCCCTAGCTCCTTCCTTTACCACAACGCAGGAGTCTGGGCTCGCAGCAACCTCTTCCTCTGGAATCCCTGGAGTCCAGATCCGTACCTCCTTCCTTCGTTAGAATTCCAGAATCTTAAACCCTCAGCCCGCCTCAGTAACGTGGATAACAGTTGTGTGTAATTCCAGCCCCCCAGACTCCCTTTTCCTAGGCACCCAGGAGACAACGCGTTTCCTAGACAACGTGTCAGAACAGGCGTTGTCAATGCCGGACCCCATCCCAACACCCAGGAGTCCCGGCCCCTGGTGCCTTTTCTCTAGAGGAATCAGTGCTTCTGACCTCTCCTTCCCTTCTCAAGGACCAAGGCATTCGGGAACCTGAGATTCCAGCCCCATCCCCTAGCCTTGTCCGGTCTCCACTCCCGTCTCCCATTTAGCACAAATATTCACTTACCTCCCAACCTTCAGACTGTCACTATGTTCCTTAACCCAACCAGTTTTGGGACTTGGGCCTAGTGCCCCCAGCCCTACCCAGAAACGCGCGCACACACACACACACACACACACACACACTCACACACACTCGCACTCCTCTCACTGGCTGTTTCTCTTTCACCTCCTTCCATCAGACAAGGAAGAGTCCAAGCTCAAAGGCGTCATCTACTTCCAGGCCATCGAGGAAGTCTATTATGACCACCTACGCTGTGCCTTCAAGGTGAAGCCCCCGCTTGGTGCTTCCCTGTCCTCCTGGTCAGAGCCCCTTTCAGTCAAGCCTTAGCTTGTTCCCGGGAAGGGCCACCCACAGCCCCCACTGTCAGGGCACTCCATCCGTCACAGGGGATGAACAGGTTATTTCACTGCAGGGACCAAAAATTAGGAGCTTAGTCTCTGGCTCCCAGACACTGTTACTGTTCTTAGAGCAAACGATTTAGAGCGAAAACTGGGCAAACTCTGATGCCAAGCTGGGAATGGGTGAAGAGGGCAGAGTGAGGGCCGGGGCGGCCTGGGAGCATCTAGAGGAGATGATGGTTCCAGCTTCTGCCCGTAGTCGCCAAGTGGAAATGGACCCCATGTCACATTATGTTAATTTTTCCCTGGAGGACTCAGGAATTGGAACTTTTATAACAGTGCAATGCCAGAAATTTAGATGTTGGCAACTGATACAGTGTTTAGAAAGAGCTGTGGAGAGCAACCAGTTGGAACATCAGGAAAGTGACTTCCTTTTTCCAGCCTTAGTTTTCTCATCTGCAAAAGGGGCACACCTCAACCCACTTCCTAAGTTAAGAAGGTTAAAGACAGATCATGGATGTACGTAAGGGACTTACTGAATTCAGACTTGGCAAATAAATACCTGATGGGATTATAGACACCAGCTTCCCCCAGTTACAAACCAGGGAGACCTACATTTTGGGGAAGAGAATTTAAATGCTCAAATTTCTAACAGGAGAAAGGAGGCTGGGGGAAGGGAACATGAGTACTTTTAAATTCTTCTTGCTCCCAAAATTCTAAGACCATTCTTGGGTTAATTCACTTAATCCTCATAATTTGATGAGGTAGGTAGCATTATTTAGGAAGAGAGATGGGGAAACAGATTCAGTGCCGCGCAGCCTAAGTAGCAAGGCTAGGATTCGAACCTACGAGTTCTCTTAACCACCTCCACTCCAACGCTTACAACAGAGCCCCAACCCTCGCCTGACGTTCTGCGTCAAAACCTACGAACGCCTTTTCTACATGGTGGCGCCGAGCCCCGAGGCCATGCGCATCTGGATGGACGTCATCGTGACTGCGGCTGATGAGAACCACGCCCCCTGAGTGGCCCCACCCTTTAGGGGGACGTCCCTGCGGGGCCCCGCCCACGGCTGCGAGGCCCCGCCCATTGCTCAACGACGGGGCCCTCCCCTTGGAACTCTCCCGGGAATTCTGCAGGCACCGCGGCTCGGCTGGCCTGAGCCTCGCATTCCTGGGCTGCAGGTGCCTTCTCGCTCCGGGAAGCCAGCCCTTGAGGCCTGCACGGGAGGAAGAGTGCGGGGGCGGGAAGGAATTATTTATTGGTGCTCCTGAGATACCCAATTAAACGTGAAGGAAAAACTAGTTGCTGTGGTTTCCAGTCCAGGCGTGTGGGGCCCCTTGGCCCTTAGGCAGGACATCTGAGTTATGGGTACTCTGAGAGCCAAGTGTCCCACAACTCGTTCTCTCCTCCTTAAGAAAAAGGGCCGTGGAGTCTAAGGTCACCGCTGGAAGATGGGGGTGGGGAGGCATGCATCCTTAGCCTTCGGCAATTTTGGTTGTTTAGTTTGCGGGCTCACCTGCCTCCACTTTTTTTTTACTTGACTGGGCTCTTGGCAATTTCTGGGGGCTCCTACGCTTCTGCGCTCCGGGCCTTGGCACGTGTTATTCTCTCTGCCCGGCCCGTAACCAGCCGGCCCCTCGCTCTTAGTTTGGAAGTTCTTCCCGACTACCCGGGGCTGAGTCGAGCACCCACCATTGAGCTCCCCTGTCCCATCCCTGAACACCCTGGGTCATCACTGGTGATGGATCTATGTCTTTATAGACTGGGAGCTCCATGAGGGCAGAGCCTGGTCACAGCAGTGAGGGCTCTCCTGGTCACTGCCGTGTCCCCAGCACCACCGGACACATATCATTCCATGCAAATAAAAATAAAGCTTCTCTTTTGCCTCTTAGTCTTTGTACATACTGTTCCCTTTGCGTAGGCACCTTTCTCTACTTCACCGGCTCTTACTCATCATTTAGGTCTTGGATGTTTCCTTCTCCAGGAAGCCCTCCTTGATTCACCTGTTTGAGTCACATGCTGCTTCTGGGCTTCCCAGCCTAGGCCTGATCACTCATAACGGCCTTGGCCACTCTGGGTCATCACTGCTGTTGAGTGTGTCTCCCATGCTGGGCGGGAGCCCCAGGAGGCAGGGCTGGGGGCTGTCTTGGCCACTACTGAGTTTTTGATGCACAGCGAAAGGCCTAGTGCAAACTGAGTATTGAGGGAAAGTCTGATGGTTGAATAGATTGATGAGGAAGAGATATTGAGGACTGGGGACGGTGGTGAACAAGGCAGACATAGAACACTATCCTTTGGGTCTGACCCAAGGTGTCCCCTTCAAGCAGCTCTGTCTGCTCTCTAGGCTGGGTCTGGTTTCTATATTGGGATTCCACAGTCCCCTGGGCTCCCCCGCTACAGCCCTGACCACTCTCGGCTGTCACTGTGTGGAGACAGGTCTTTTCTGGAACGAGGCATTCAGTCTGTCTGTTTCCCATTCCCTCAAGACCTGGGTGTCCTGTCTGTCCTGTCCCCAGATTTCTTGAGGGGCCAGATGTGGTGCTTCTGAGTCCTGGGAATGCAGACACACTGGTCCCCATGCCCGCAGGGTTCCCAGGTGTCCCTTGGCTTCCACCTCCAGGTGCGACAGACATCTGCCTCTTGGATCAATTCTCCCAGCCCCTCTGCAAACTGGGCTTCTCCTGGGGCCAGCTTCGTGGCATGTGACCAGGGTAGTTGACAGATCCCTGTGCCTAGAAGAGCCTTCTTGAGTCTAATGCTGTGTGGTTACCGCCTGGAAATCCTTAATTTTGTATTTGAGTTTTTGTGTGTGTGTGTGTGTGTGTGTGTGTGTGTGTTTAGACGAGGCAACCCTTGGTTGACCTCACAGACTGCAAAGACCTTGTTAGCTTACAATTCCTTATGTTTTATTTTTTATGCATACAGCACCTGGTCTTCTTAGGTGGTCTCTCATCCAAGTACTAACCAGGCCCAACCCTGCTTAGCTTCCGAGATCAGACAGGATCAGGCTTGTTCAGGGGGGCGTGGCCATAGACAAGTTTGTGTTTTGTAAATGAAGTCCAAAGGGACGTGGAGCATGAGCTGGGGGGACCTCTAACCAGGTCCCACCTCCTGACCACTACCACCCTCCAGCTTCAGCAGGGCTTGGGTGCCCAGTTGTGCCTCATGGCATCTCAGGGTGGGAAATGGCAGTGAGCAGCTGGTGGAAGAAGAACCCAGCAACCAAGTGGTTTTAGTTTGGGAGCAAGGTCTCTAGACACCTATGAGGGTCTGTGCTAAGTCCATGAATATCCCTGTGCCCAAGGGAACATGACATCAAACACCATGAGGGGTTGAGAGAGATGACAGAAGAAAGCAAGCATTTATATTTTAGTACCTTTAACGGCTCTCTTTCCCATCTGTTGAACTGGAACTCTATATTTTCATTTTGCGTTGAGCCCGCAAATTATGTAGCTGGCACAGCCCCTGACACCATCCCTTCTCTGACACATCCCAAAGGGAGTGAGTCTGAGACAGTCTGAGAACCTCACTGGGCTCAGAGCCTGCCCTGCCCCAGGGGACAGGAAGCCCACAGTGGATATGGCCCCAGGCTTGTCTGAGGCCCTGGCATGACCTCCAGGGCTGGGGACCATCTCCACAATGACCCTTCTGCTCATCTATATGGGGAACTGGATTCTAAATCTATTCACAGTGACCTCTGCAGAGAGGAGCTGGGAAAAGTCACTGAGTGGATGTAAGCAGAGGCCCCCGCATTCGAACTTCCCTCTGCTCTCTGGTCCGGGGCCAGGTGGGGGTCAGCGCCCAGAATCCGGGCAGGCCTGAGCAAGAGGAGCCTCTCCACCCCTGGGTCCCATTCCCTCCCAAGACGCTAGTTCTTCTGGTCCAGCCTGTTAGGGTTCCTCCCTGAAACTCTCCCACGCAGCTGGGGCCTGCCAGGGCCTCCTGCATCTGAGCACACAATAATAGTATTATCACCTGGCTTTGCACTATCCTTCAGGAGACAGGGGTTTTCAGATCCATTTGGCAAAAGAATCAGTTGAAGTTCAGAGAGGGAGACACAGTTATTTGGGATCACACAGCAAGAGGACATCAGAGGCAGGATGAAAATTCCAGACTTGATACTTGGCCCGCTGCCTCACTCTGCCATGAAAGTCACTCCTTCCTTTATTATAAAACAGACACGTCAATAGTTTAGAGAGATGAGACTTAGAGGATAACACAGCGAACCATAGGGAGGCTGGGATTCCAAGGCTAGGAGGCAGGACCGTGGTGGGGTGGGGTGGGGGGCCATGTTGAATGACCTCACGAGTAGTCATTCACTTTCTCTCTCAGCATGATGCCAAGCGACTCCACCTAGGTGACTGAGGTGCTAGTCATTGTTGGGAATGGGGGAGCCCAATGGGGTCTGGGGAACAGGTAATAACTTTACAGCCGCTATTTTTCCTGCCATAGATAAATCTTATCTATGAGCCGGGAAAAACAAAGCAAGATTAAAGCTGTAACTTTAATGTAATAAATTTATAATATAACATAATATAATATAACCTAATATAATATAATATAATATAATATAATATAAGCAGTCAATTTACATTGGCCACGGTATGGGGATGCTTAGTCATTTTCTGGCTTGCATAGTGCTTGTTTGTTTCTGTGTTCAGACATGGCGATGCATGGTCCTGATTGTGTCTTGCTCCATCCGGGTCAGAGTGTGACGTTGTCCAGTGCTGGTGTGTCACAGAACACCATGCATGGCCTCACTGTGAGTGCCAGGTCAACTCCTGGCTGACTGTAGGGGCTGCTTTTCTCTGTCTTACCTGGAGGACTGCCTAGCTCCCTCGCTGGATTCCTGGCCTCCTCCCTCATAGTGTTTACTTCTTGTACAAAGGCCAGTCACATTTCCCTCCATTTAAAAAAAAAAAAAACATGCATTCAGTGAAGTGCATAAGTATATAGTTTAATGAATATTTATATGTTTGTACACACACATAACTACCACCCGGGCAAAGAGAGTGAGGGCTGCTCACTATTGCTCCCTTGGGACAGTGTCTTGCCAAAGATAACCCCTTGCTGAGGTTTCTGTCACCACTGATGAGTTTTGTCCGGGAACTTCATATAAATGGAGTTATATGGTATGTTTTATTTGTTTAGGCCTTCTTGAGCTTGACATGAAGTTTCTCAGATTCATCCACGTTGCTGAGGCCGGTAGTTAGCTCTTTTTCATTGCTGTGTAGTATTCCATGGGATTCGTTAACGACTCTTTTCCCATTCACTTTTTTTTTTTCTATTCACTTCTTGATGGGTATTTGCATTATTTCCCGGATTGATCATATTAGAAAGCAAATCTGATCGTGTCCCCTGCTGATTGAAACGCTCTCAAAATATCTCCACCTTTCTCAGAATTAATTCAAATCCTTTCTCAGGGCTCAAAATGCCCTGAATGGTCTGGCCTCTGCCTGGTGCTTCTGCCTCGGTTTCCACCCTTCTCCCCTCACCCTCTGAGCTCCGGGTGCATGTGCTGCTCCCTCTGCTTTGTAATGTGCTCTCTCCCCACCCTGACCTGTTTCAGGGCTAAATCCTGCATGTCTTTGAGATCATACACGAATTACATCCTCTCGGAAGCCTCATTGACCAGCCCCCACCTCTAGACTCTATATCTCCTTGTAGCTCCCTACACTTCTTCCTTTATTGTCCTCGTCGTAAATAACAATTTGTATGATTATTTAATGAATATCTGTCTCCCCCATCAGACTGTGAGCTCTGTGAGGACAGGCATGGCTCTGTCCTAGTCTCCAGGTCACCCAGACCAAAGCTGGCACACTTTATTTTCCTGAGTGCCTAGTGTTGAGTAGAGCCCTCTGTGAGCCTCAGTACTCTCCCCTCTACCCTATAAACACAGACTTTCTCCTGAGAACTTTCAGGGAACCTGGACTCCCGCCATTTCCCTCCTTGGCAACTGTGGGTGACGCATCCAGGGGCGGGTGTCCCGCCCCACAGCGGACGCTGATTTGGCCTGGTTGGGCAAGGCCAGGGTTGCCTGCGGGGAGGTTACTCATCCTGGGCTCAGGTAAGAGGGCCCGGGTTGGGAGGCGGCACACCTAGGGGGGCCGCTGAGGGAGCAGGATCGAACCATGGACCCCACCAGGAAAGCAGGGCGCCCTGGCAGTGATCTGGAGGGCCCGGGTTGGGAGGCGGCACACCTAGGGGGGACGCTGAGGGAGCAGGATCGAACCATGGACCCCACCAGGAAAGCAGGCGCCCTGGCAGTGATCTGGACTACAGGCTGGCTGCTGCTGCTGCAGATGCTGCTCCTTCGAGAAGGTGGGTCTGCTGCCGGGAGGGGGCGGAGGGGGTAGAATGCGGGCTATAGGAAGGAGGGTTCCTTCTCTCCCTACAGAGAGGGCTGTGGGAAGGGTCCCCCATCCTAGGCAGAGGGGACTGTGGGAAGGATTGCTGCTTTGGGAGGCTGTGGGAAAAGTTCTTTCACCCTGAGCGGAGGGCTAATGTCAGGAGGTCCCCAGCCCTCATCAGAGCGGTCTCGTGGGAAGGGATCCCTCACTGAGCCTTCTTGATTGTGGGAAAACTTCTCCCCCTCTGAGCGAAAAACTGGGACAGTGCCCCGTGGCCCCGTCCATGGCAGGGATCCCCCACCTTGGGCATAAGGCGCTGTGGGAAAGATGCTCCCACTGCAGGCATAGGGGCCTTGAAGGAAAGGGACAGTGTATCTCATGACAGATTTGTGGGAACGTTCTCCTGACTCCTGCCCTGGAAAAGGCGTGCGATAGGATTGTCTCCTTCTGGGGGCCGAGGGCGTGGGAAGGGCTATTTCTCCTTTGGGGGTGCGGGGGGATGCCTCAGTAGGGGTCGGTCAATCTAACTCGGTCATGCACCCCCAGGAGCTCAGGCCCTGGAGTGCTACAGCTGCGTGCAGAAAGCAGACGACGGATGCTCTCCGCAGAAGATGAAGACGGTAAAGTGCGCGCCGGGCGTGGAAGTTTGCACAGAGGCCGTGGGAGCGGTGGAGACCAGTGAGTGGGGACCCCGGGTCCATGCATGTCTACTACCCCTTCAGGCTCTTCCAGCCAAGCCCCGCCTCCTTATAGTTCTGCCCTTCCCTCTGAACTTGGCCCCATCCCTCCCTTTCAGCCTAGCCCTGGCCCTTTTAGAGCTTAGAGGGATGGCGGGCTGGGAGTTGTGAACTGGGTGGGGTGAAGCCCGGATCTGGGCCCTCATCCCCTTCGAGGGCACACCCTATCCATTTCCGCTTCACCACTGAGACCTCCCTCCCCACTCTGTCCCTGCCAGAATCTTCTCTCCCTCTCCTCCCGCCAGACTCCCCTAATCAATGGGACCCTGTAAAGGTCTTGTAGGTTTCCTAAGCTGAGGCTCCGACTCTCTGACCCACTCGCAGTGGAATCCCGCTCCCAGGAGGCTCCACCCGTCTCCGATCCTGAGCCTTTTTTTGTCAGTCTTTCGGTTCCTTCGGATGTTGCTTCCTGCGGTTCCGCCCCTTTATGGCTCTGCCCCTCGATTCTGTCCGTGTCTGGCAGCCTGGCAGTCCCTCAGACTCAGCTTTTTGAGGTTCCGCTCCTCCATCTGCGGTTCTTTCCTCCTGGATCGGCTCTTTTTGAGGGCCTCGCCTCCTCTGACCCCGCTCCCTCCTCTTTCCACAGTCCACGGGCAATTCTCGGTGGCAGTGCGCGGCTGCGGTTCGGGACTCCCGGGCAAGAATGACCGCGGACTGGACCTTTACGGGCTTCTGGCCTTCATCCAGCTGCAGCAATGCGCGCAGGACCGCTGCAACGCCAAGATCAACCTGTCCACGCGAGCGCTCAATCCCGCAGGTCGGTGGAGGCGGAGCGCTAGGCCCGCGGCGGAGCCACCCGGGCTGAGCCGCTAGGGGTGATCACCAGCTGGGCGCGGGAGGAGGCAGCACGTGCTGGGGGCGGGGCCACGCTCGGGGGCGGGGCCAAACGCAGCAGGCGGGATTTCATTGCTGCAGGCCCCTGTGACGTGAGACGCCAGGGGCGGGTTAGGAGGGCGGGACCACAGGGTGGGCGGGGCTAGAGGTTGACTAGCGTCCGTCCAGGGGCGGAGACGTGGGCTGGTGCGGACCCCCGACCGCCTGTGCTTTCCCAACTTTCTCGACCCTTCCTTCCAACCCGCTCCCCTCGCAGGCAATGAGAGTGCGTACGAGCCCAACGGCGCCGAGTGCTACAGCTGCGTGGGGCTGAGTCGCGAGGCGTGCCAGGGTACCGCGCCGCCCGTCGTGAGCTGCTACAACGCCAGCGACCGAGTCTACAAGGGCTGTTTCGATGGCAACGTCACCTTGACGGCAGGTGAGCGAGCCCCGAGTTGTGGTAGCCTTTCTGAGGCCTCCTGGGCTCTAAGTATCCCTTCACCCAGAGAGTTCCCTCCTTCCAGTGCATTCTGGGAACTGCAGACCAGACCTAAGTGCTACCCTTGTCCTAGAGCGTCATAAGAAATGCAGCAGCCCTGTCCCTAATATAGCGTAGGGATGGAGATGCTTTTGTCCCGGAGTTTTTTGGGGAAATACATTTCCATAGAGGCCTGCCAAGAGCAGCGTGCAGGGATGTGCAATGGGAAATGTATTTAAACCTTCAAGCTTCTGCCCTGGCATTGCGGATAACCTTGTTCTGACTCCTTAAAACTCAAGGGGTTAGGGTGTCCACCTGACCACGCAGGAGAGATGTAGTTCAGCCTCCTGAACTCTGTCTCAGGGAACCGTGCGAGGTGAAGTTCAAATGCCATTCCCTGCCAGGTGTGTTATGGGAGATGTAGTTCTGACTCTGACTAAATATTGGCAGAGTTGTGGGAAGAGGTATGCGGAAAATGTGAGAGGTGTTGTACTCCTGTAGAAACCTTTCTTCTAAGGCATCGTGGGACTTATGTCGTTCAGCTTACAGAGATTTCCTCTTAGACTACAGTGGGACATGTGGGACAGAGATTGGGACAGTGTTTCTCAAAGTGGGGTCTGAGTTGAGATTGATGGGATTAATGGGTGCAGAGCCCTTTAGGGGTTCTTGCCTCTTAGGTTTCATTCTGGCTGTGCCTACCTCCCTCCCTCCAACCACCGACCTACCTGTGTCTCCCTCCTGCAGCTAATGTGACTGTCTCCCTGCCTGTTCGGGGCTGCGTCCAGGACGAGTTGTGCACCCGGGACTCGGCGACAGGCCCGGGGTTCATACTCAGTGGCTCCTGCTGCAAGGGGTCCCGCTGTAACTCGGACCTCCGCAACAAGACCTACTTCTCCTCGAAATTCCCACCCCTTGTCCTGCTGCCCGCCCCTCAGCCCACCACTCTGGCCCCAACCACCCCTGTCACTACTTCTACCCCAGCCCCAACCATGCGCACTTCTGCCACCTCTGCCACCTCTGCCACCTCTGCCACCAAACTCACCAAACCCACCTTGGCCTCAACCAGCCAGACTCCTCCAAAGGAAGTAGAACCTGAGACCTCCCACAAAGAGGAATCTAGCTTGGCTGGAGGTGCTGCTGGCCACCAGGACCGTAGTAATATGGGACAGTACCCCACAAAAGGCGGGGCCCATAATAAAGGCTCTGCAGCTCCCTCGGCTGGGCTGGCGGCTCTGCTATTGGCTGTGGCTGCTGGTGCCCTATGAGCTTCTTCACCCAGAGACCTCCTTCCTGCCCTACTCCCCCGGCCCTAGGCACCCTCTCTTCCCTTTCTCATCACTGGACTGGGCTGGCCCAGCGCCTGTTCTTCCAATCTCCTCCCAGTTTCCCCAGCTTCTGCTGCACTGGTTTGCAGCTTTGGGAAATAAAGTTACCGTTGTATATAGCCTGCCGAGGTGTTCTAGCTTTTGGAGGGCAGCAAATGTATCCCCCTCATCTTTGTCGCTCCCTTGTCTCCTCATGGTGCCCAGGACAGAGAGGAGTCAGAGCTGTCACAGGGATCATGGGGGAATCAATGATAAGCTTCCTGTTCGCTTTCTCACAGCCGACCTGGAACATGGGGAGCGGAGCGGGATAATGGTTCCTTCCTCTGATGGCTGCTGGTCCTGCCCCTCCATCTTTGTGGGAATCATTTTGGCATCTGTCTTCCTTACTAGACTGTGAGCTCCTCAAGGGCAGGGATTGCGCCTTAGGCCTCTGTGTGGTCAGTTTCTGGCAAGTAAATGCCTCAATAAAAGTTGGGTTACTTTGTACAGTGTTTCGAAGGAGTCATTTCCACCTCATTTCTTACAATACCCTCTTGAAGGTGAGCTAGGGAGGGAACGCCGAGAGCTTTGACAGAGAAGCTGAGATCTGGAGTCACAGTGCTGGAGGAAGTCCCGGTCTGCCCTCCTTTCATCTCCTGGTTTAGCCAGCTTGTGGGTGACCCACTGGGGAGGGGGAGATGGGTGCCACCATTAATCAGTGCCTAAGGGTGAATGGTGTCTTCAGCAGTGCTAGGGAGCAACGGGTTGTACACCACCCCCAGGCACCACCTACCTTGCCATTTCTCTGGTTTCTTAAGAATCATTGAGTGGGTTCAACCACTGTGTCCCATTTGTCCGAAGGGCTTGAAGGTGCTGCTTGTCAGTTTTTTCTTCCCACTGGGGACTTGGGGCCTGAGTCCCATCTCCATCTCCTCCAATCATAGGAAGGCATGGAGGCCCCAAGGAGGAAAAGCCCGGCTCGGGAACGAGACGGGTTGGCAGGCTTTGGGGCTGCTCGATGAAAGGGAATAGTGAGATAATGGTAGTAATATTGCCAATATCACTATTAATAGGGAATCCGAGGTTATAATAAAACGATAGTAAATAATGGCTAGAGTAACAAAATAGAGAAAAAGAGCATGAGTGAAGTACAATTGATAACCTCAGTAATAGTAACTATAGTTACAGGAATGTCAGTCATTTTTAAAAAGTCTTACCAGATACCAGGCCTGTCCTAAGGGTATTTTTGCATCCATCATGTCATTTAACTTTCCGTATAAATTCTCAAATGGAATGATTGGAGAAACTGAGGCGCAGAAGGGTGAAGTAATTTAACCCACAGCAAGAAATACATTTATTATGTGCCAGGTGCTGTTTTAAGCGCTGTACTCGGATTAACATTTTTAACCTACACAACCATCCTATGAGATAAGTATTAATTATCTCCTTTTTACAAGGCCCAGAGAGATTGAGACACTTGCCTCAATAAGCAGTGGAGCCCAGATTTGAACCCGGGCAGACCGGCTCTACAGGGCAAGATGGCTGTAACTTTTCCCTCGGCTTGACTAAACTTTAGGCAGGCTTCTTCCTGCCTCTCCCTGACTTCCTTTTCACTGGGCACTTTCAGAGTCCAGATGGCCTAACCACAGAGGCCCCAGACCTCCCTTAACTTGGAGCATTTACTTTAGAAAATATGTCCTCCCAAATTCTTTTGCTGCTCCTTTGAGATGTATGTAGTTTTCTTTAAAAGCCTCTCTGGTTTTACAGCCCAGGAAATACCTTTCTCAAGGGCCCAGGAACCATCTCTTTGAAACGTAAACATCAAAAGAGGTAGCACCTCAATCTTCTAGTCTCCCTAGGGGAGCGAGAGCCTAACGGCATTGGGTGTCTTTCTCCCAGTTGTAAAACTACCTTCTGTCACGAAGAAAGTTTCCTTTTCTTTTGAGTAATGCTAATTACAGACGGAGATGACCTCCTCCTCACCCTGGCTCTTAAAAACTCAGCCACCCTTTGTTTCAGCTGAGATGCGCTCAGGCTGAGTGCTGGCCTCTCTCCCTATTGCAGTATCCTTGAATAAAGTCTTCCTTCACCCAAAACTAATAATATAATATTGACTGGCAACTGTAACTGAAAAATGAATTTTTTTTTAAGTTTTCCTTGCCCATTTCATGCTGTCCAAGGCAGTTTTTTTTTTTTTTTGCTTTGACAAGCACGAACTACTAACCAGTGAGGGGGAGCAGTGTTTTGCTACCTGAAATATGCCTTTTTTCGGATATTTTTAGCCGGTTATTTTTAAGAAACGAAAGACTCAGGGAGAGCCTTTTACCTCCCCCTTATATCCTAAAGGAATTCAGATGGAAAACCCTGCTTAAATGAAAGGAGCTGTCACCTTAGCAGAACATGAACCAAGTGTGGCAGACAGGGAGGAACAGAGCAAAATGTTTGTTAGACTGTTCTCTGTGTCCCATTGTTTCTCGGTGGCTGGCAAGGATTTGTTTACCAAATGTTCACTCCTTTTCATCTGCCTGTGAATTGCCTACCCTCCCTTCGAAGTCCAAAGCACTACGCCTCTTTCTCCATAGCTCAAGATGGCATCTAAAAATGCCTCAACTCCCCAGGTTGTCTTTGGGTCCCCTATGCTTACAGAACTCCTGTATATACATATGTAATCAATTTGGTTATTTTCTCCTGTTAATCCGCCTCGTTTTGATTTGACTATTAGACCAAGCCAGGAGAGCTTAGAAGGGTAGAAGAAAAATAACTTTTCTTCCCCTACACCAGCATGTTACATAGTTTCAGGCCAACAGCTTGGTTAACAGGAGCCTGTTTTTGGCATCTTGGTGGTATAGGTCTGAGGACTCCCAGGTTCCTGAGGGTGTCGAGGCTGGAATTCCTTCTCTCATCACCTCTACTCCTGGGGGCTTTTCCATTTTTTGAAGGAGGTTCCAAGGTGGAGGAAGAGACTGTGGGATCACCCAGCCCTCTTGCATAGTGCAGCTGAGGGCTTCTGACAGGAAGGCTGCTCTGGCCTCTCCCAGCGTGTCCTGACCCCACTCCCTGTGTCCTGCTGGTAACTGCTAGTCTATAGTCCATGTCCACGAGTCTCCGTTTGTCCTGTTCATTTGTTGCTTTTAGGTTTATATCCCACATATAAGTGATATGTGGTTTTCAACTTTGTCTGTCTGGCTTATTTCGCTTAGCGGGATTATCTCGAGGTCTATCCATGTTGTTGTAGATGGCAGTATCTCATCTCTTCTTATGGCTGAGTAACATTCCATTGTATATACATACCACAGCTTCTTAAGGGATAATATTTTTTAAAAGGTAAAATCACAGCTCTCACACAGATGAAAAATGACCACGTGTCAAAAGTTTTGTTGAACTCGTTCATTCATGAGGGAACCAGTAAAATGTTACAACCAGTTCAAAGGAGAATGCACAGAACACAGGTGATCATGGATGCTGAATTAATAATGGAAGTCAAACTGGTCAGTATCCTGAGGGAAGTGAATAATTACCTGTATCCTGCCAGGTGGGCAGGAATCTTCTGCATTACTGTTAGTTTACTGTCAGGTTAGCATTACCGTCATAGTTTAAGGTAAGGAAAGGTGGAGATAACCCAGAAGGGTGTGTTACGCAAGACACCAGGTAATCCTTTCTGCCCATCACAAAAGCTTTCACTTCTAGAAGCCCCTGGCATGGTGGAGGAAGCCCAGACACAGTCTATTCTGATATGGTGCCATAAGAATTGCAGTAGGGCATCCTCCAAGTACAGGTGAGGGACAGAGGAAAGATGCCCTTCAGGTGTGGTTCCCATACAGATGGTGGCACCTCCTTCACCTCCATAACTTTGCGGCCACCCAGTGTGTCCATTTCAGGGCCGATGTAACAAAGTCCCATAAACTGGGTGCCTAAAAACAACAGAAATTTATTGTCTCACAGTTTTGGAGGCCAGAAGTCCAAAATTAAGGTGTCGGCTGGGTCGTGGTCCCTTTGAAGCTTCTAGGGAGGGATCCTTTCTTGTCTCTTCCAGCTTCTGGTAGCCCCAGAGGTTCCTTGGCTTATAGACGCATCACTCCAATCTCTGCCTCCTTTACATGAAGTTCTCCCTGTCTGTGTCCCAATATCCCTCTTCTTATAAGGGCACCTGAGTTTATATTGAGGTAACTTTTTAAAAAAAGTGCCTAAGGTTGGGGGCTGGTTGCCAGGGGAACCAACCCATGCTTGGAAGGCTGGAACTTTCAGTCCTATCCCCCTGACCTCTGGGTGGGGGAAGGAAGGGCTGGATGTTGAATCACTTGCCAATGGCCAATGATTTAATAGATAATGCCTTTGTAATGAAGTCTCCATAAGACAACCAAAGAGATGAGGTTTATGGAGCTTCCAGGATGGTGAACATGTGGGAAGGTGGTACGCCTGGACAGGACATGGAAGCTCAGCATCCTTTCCCTGGAACTTGCCCTGTGCATCTCTCCTATCTGGGTGTTCTGAAGTTATGTCTTTTTATAATAAACCAGTGACCTAGTAAGTAAAATGCTTCTTCGAGTTCTGTGAGCCACTCTAGCAAATTAATTGACCCCAAGGAGGGGGGTGTTGGAACCTCCAATCTGGTCAGAAGCACAGGTGACAACCTTGACTTGACATCTGAAAGGTTTGGGGGGAGTTAGTCTCGTGGGACTGAGCCCCTTAACCTGTGGAATCTGAGGCTATGTCCAGGTAGACGGTGTTGGATAGTGTCAGAATTGAGTTAATTGCTTGCTGGTGTTGGAAAAAGCATACATCCCATAGATGCTAGTATGTTCAATTTTGCGGAGTAACAGGATATTTACATGGTCAGAAATTATCTCCCCACAAGATACTTATTGATCACACATGGGAAATAGCAATATAAATTCGGAAAAACCTGGTGGCCACCACTGTAACTGAGTGATCAAAGTGAATATTACCAGTCATGGGGAAGATACTGAGAAAGGACACAGCGTCACTTCTGTGATATTGGGCAGAATGTGCACAACCTGAATCTAAGCCAGAACCGAGGTATATTCTACAAAATAACTAACCTCTGCTCTTCAGAAATATCCAAGCCATAAACACAAAGAATGAAGGAGGCCCTGTTCCAGATGAGACCTGACAACTGAATGCAGAGCATGACCCAAGATTTTCATTTGCTATAAGGGACGTTACTTAAGCGCTTGACAAAAATCTCAAGCAAGGCCACAAATTAGATAATTTATATCTGATGTTAACTTCCTGATTTAGACAAATGTACTACGGTTACATAGGAGAATGTCCTTGTTTTTAGGAAAAACTTAGAGGTGAAGGGGTAACAAATCTTCGACTTACTCTCAAACTGTTCAGGAAAAAAGATTTATACATATATAGAGAAAAAAGTAAAACGAATGGGGTAAAACATTAACTCTGGGGAATTCGGTGGAAGGATATATGGGAATTATTTCTGTCATTTTTACGACTTTT